AACTTTGGAGCACGACAGTGGCAAGCCTGGCGTCGATGGAGTCAGTTGGTTTTAGAGACTAGTTCGGGGTGTACGTCAGGATTGTAGTGCCGGTCGTTTCGAGTTGAAAGGAGGAATTACAAGATTAATAAAGGAAAGATTGTGTTTTTTGTAATTTTGGTGTGTCCATGACCGTACGTAGTCATTCGATGAAGTAGACATGGTGTTAATTTTTGTTTATAAGATATTTCAATTGCTAGATTAACCTAGAAGTCCACTTTGTATCCTCGAACATGAGGTGCAGGGCTACCGCCAGAACAGAGCCAAATAACTCGTAATTTCACGACCAAAGTTTCACGACCATCGCGGGTTTTTTCACGACCAATCCAGCCTTATGGATTATAGTGTGTTTGGTCGTGACAATAACTTTAATATAATTGTAAATTGAACAGTTTAGTGCAATTGAAACACATATTTTTATTATAACTAACAGGATAATTGAAGGATTGTTTGGAAAGATTTAGATTATTCCAGACAATTCACGACCGTACCGCTTGTCCCTGACCATCACGTTTATGATTTCTATCATAAAAATTTCAAAAATTAAAATATCGTCATATTTCAATGTTTTATACACAAACGAAGCACACCTCTATACAAACATAACGATTTTTCGGGTCTCAGGTAAGTTTTTTCGGAGTTATACTAACTTAAAAAGATTTTATTGGCTTTTTTTCAATTTTTTGAGCTTTTTCATTTTTTTCTAGAAAGACCATATATACCAAAAGCTCAGTGACCTTTTTATTGTATAATGGTCATAAAAGTAAATTAGATTATAGCAAAACATAGTTATAAAAATAATATTAACTATTTTTAATATTCATTTAAACGTCTGTTATGGTCGTGACAGGATTTTGTGTTTTTCCACTAAAGATGCTCTTTTAAAAAGAAACTACCAAACATATTGCGTTACCATGGACATTTTATGAAACTTCAAATGTTAATGAAATAAAAAAAATAATAAAAGTTTTGAAAAAAGGGGAAAAAAATTTGCAAAGTGCTTTTCCTGAAAACGTACGTTTTTAAATTTTTACTCACAAGGGATTTTGAGTTATTCATTATTTTCAACAAAATACAAAACGGCGGATTACGGCTAAACTAAGCCGAAATCGAAAAAAGGTTATTCAACATTTTCGCCTTACTTTTACATGTAGAATCTGAATCTGTATAGCCCGCTACGCTTTACTGAAACACCTTGTATATTAAATCCAGTAACATGGAGAGTGGTTTTATGTATCACTGCTTAAACAGTAGAATATTGACTATCCAACCTAAAACAACTGCAGCAAGGTAGGATAAATTAAAAAATAAAATAAAAACCAGCGTAAGAGTACGTGTTAAAAACAAAGTTTTACATTGCACAATTTAAACTAAATTTCCGTTTCATAATAATGTAATAAACATACTAAACTCAAACACCCTCGCCACATCAAACATATATGCAGACCCAGTAGTGATTAAGCAGATTAAACAATACTTTGATTGCGAGTTGTTTTTTTGTTAATTTTTTAGAATGGGAGACACAGAGAACAGTGAATGAAGAGTTGAATGCGGAAATGAAACAGTCTCTTGAGGAACTAATGACTATGAAGAGAGAAGTTGCGGCAAAACTAATAGATCCACGAACAGGCCGGACGGTTCAACATGACAAGGTAACATCTGAGATTACTGTATAAATGGATTAGTAGGCTACAAAAAAATATTCTGATTATGCTTTGAAATAATACACACTGCACTGACTGTTTTGAATCTTATTTGAATCTTATTTTGTGAGATTGATATACTTATTCACATTTATTTTTATTTATTGTGTTTACAGTTCTGTCTTCTGTTTGAATTCCTTGACCAGACCATTAAATTGAACCTAACAGTCTATGGCGACAATAATAAAAACAGATTATTAGACAATGATAAAATTGTCTCCCAGGATGTGTAGCACTCCCAGGTCCAGCTTCCAGCCTATTTCATTGGCTGGATTTTAAATAAAACGATTTTAAGCTCCCTATGAATGTAGAAAGCAGCTAAATGTAGTTACCTCTGGCACCTATTCGTCTGGATGTCTTTTGGAATCCAGTTAATGAGCTAGAATTGTTCTTTAACTAAGGTAGTTAACAAGTAATTATGTAATAAGAAATGGATGAAAGGATTCATCTAGCTCGATAGTGGCATAGATTAAACATACGGATTATGTTTAATATGGTAGTGGTTATCTCAAAAATTAAATCAATTTAAATTAAGTTTCTACACATCCGCAGGCTTTGGAAGACCTTCTTAACCGTCAAGAGCAACAGATGAAACAGCTAAGTGAATGTCGGTTGGTCAAAATAAAACTGGGACGAAGAATAGAGATGAAGCGAGCAGAAGGACAGATGGATGACTCGGGAGGCGACTTTAAACTGATGGATTATGAAAAACTCGCCAGCCTCAAAGAATATTACACGGACAAAATAACTGAGAGGTTTGTGGTTAGATTACTGGTTCAGGGCAGGATTACTGTGAGCATCAGTGTTTTCTTAACGGTAAACGCAAATGTATCAAATAATTGTCTAAGTTATAAAACAATATTCTTTTATTTGTACTGATTTTCTGTGTACGTTAATATACTTTCTTGTAAAAAATATGTGAAAGAGGAACATTATAATGGATCACTTTATTTCTAGAAAATATGTTGGACTTTCAACAGAGTTCAAATAAGTTCAATGAGGATTTGCAATACAGTACTTGAGATTAAATCAAATCAAATAATAAATCAAAATACCTTTATTCTCTATCGCTTCTCAGTACAATACTGGGATTACAGAATAACTCACGTCACTAAAACTAAATATTTACAAGTCATTAAAACAGTTAAAAAATTGTAATTACTTACTTGAGACAAGGACACATTTTCTGTGTAAATTTTTAAGCTGAATGTAAATCATCCAATGTTGGTGTATAATGGAAGTTTTGTATAACTTTGTTACTGACTAAGATTTACTGGACATTAGTCAGGACCATCTACATCTTCTATATATTAATAAGCAATCATGTTTCTTTAAAACCTTTTTTCTCAGCTCGTGTGCATCGCAGGGAAAATTTGTGCATACTGTTAGAAAGATATTTTCCTCTAGATGTGCAGAATCCCTTTATAAATTAAAATAGGCTCAAAAATAAGCACAACAAATTAATTTTAAATTAAAAAAAAAAATTAAAATGGGCCTTATGGGTTGCCATGCTGGTGAAGAAATAATAACAAAATATAAAGAGAAAATCAAAACAAATGGAAGAAATGTCAATCACATGTTGTATTTACAGTGTGGGGTGAAAATAGAGAAGTCTGCACATTACATATTTTTGGTCGAATTTTCGACAACGAGACGGCCTCTAGTAATATTAAAAGCATGATTATCAGGAACAGCTGAGTCCAGTTTCAAATTATAAAATGTTGTTTTTTATAAAAAAAATGTCTCTGATTTCTGAAAGCACAACTGTTTTCTCATCAGGATCAAACTATAGTTCGGCCGCTTAGAAAACGACCTGCGAGCTAATGCTAAACCAATGCTGGAGGTGGTCGCTTTCTAAGCGGCCGAACTATAGTTTTGTTTTGATGCTAAGACGAGATCTAAAATCTACCCTATCGTTAATGAACTATAACCGTCCAAAAAAAGCTTTAAATAATATTATTATTCTTTTCAAAACAACACAATTCTTGGAAATATGATCCTATTTTATTCCTTAATTTTACAGAGACATTGAGATTGGAGAGGTAAAACTCAAAATAGACATGATGGAAGACAATCTAAACGTGATTAAAGACCAGTTGAAACGGAGAGAAGACGAGATGGAGAAGGAACGGATGAAGTTACAGCTGATCACTTCGGATTTAAATTCGGTAACTCACATTAAATTAAAGTAGAAAGACTAAGTAAATCAGTCAAGATTCACTCTTTAGATAAACTTTGTCACTTATGTGTCACTTACTAACACCAAACACGTTGCATGTGTACCGAATTAAAAATAAATTAACCTAATTGTTTTACAGAGGAGGGAGAATCTGAATAAAATCAAAACTACGAAACACAAGACGGAGAGGAGTACAGTGAAGATCAAACAACAGTCAGGGCTGTTGGCGTATCCGACATTGCTCAAAGACTACGAAGAGAAATCTCAACATTTAGCTGATCTGAGGACACAAACAGACCGACTGAAGCAGCAGTATCGGCAAGGACTGGAACGGATACGTAAATTAAAGGAAATGGTGAAGAAGAAGACGGAAGCCAAGTATTCTGTAGCATCTTCTGTAAGTTCAGTGTGACATGAACGTTATTGGCAGTATTTCTCGGACATTAAATAAACGGGTGACTTTATTGTTGGTTTTATTTAATTGCTAATGTGGCCGTTGTAGATGAGGATTGGATTCAGGTTAGTTACCAAACAAAATGGATAATTGAATTGAACATAAATTATACGAGTACAATAGCAAAGATATGGGGAATTTGTTGGGATTGCATGCTTAATTCTTGAATTAAAGCACAATTGTATTTATATTATACACAATTTAGACTAGTTCAATGTTAATGACAGCAAGTGGATAAAAGAAGATTACATCTTTATTACCAAAATAAACATTCCTTGGTTAAAAATTTATCAGAGGCAAAGAATTTACTAATCTTTTTACCAGTTTTTTGTGAATCTTGTACAGTACGAGCTGTCATACCCTTTAGTCTATCTTGACTTCATATGATTTAGTTAATAATTCAAATAAGGTCAAGACAGATGATAACTTTTTTCAATGTTTACATTTTACTTTATTATAGTTAATCATAACAATTTTCAATAAAAGAGTTTCTTCAAATGTGTGCTTATTATGAACTCTAATTCAAAGTCACAACAATTATTTGGCGACGAAGGAAAAACAGAATAATTACATGTAAGATTACTAAATTTTTCAGAATTTGTGTTCAAATTATTTTGTATTCAAAATGAATGCAGATCAGTTCAATCAATTCCTTACCATCTTTCAAGAACAACAAAGACAACAGCAAGAAAACCAGAACAAGTTTATTAAAGAAGTATTAGAAACTGTCTTAAAACAGAATGATCAACAGACTGAGATACCTCGGGTCAACTACTCAAATGTGGCTCCTTTTGAAAACTATGATCCAAAGAAAGAAAAATTTACATGTTACCTAGAACGTTTTGAAAACTATTACACCATGAAAGGCCTAACAGACTCAACTAAGATTGGACAGCTACTGTGCATCTCTATCGGCAGTGATCATTATAACAATCTTAATTCTTTTCTAGGCCCCGAGAAACAATTGAAAAGTCTCAACTATGATGAGCTTATCACAGCATTCAAGCAGTTATTGATTCCTAAGAAGAACGTTGTAGTATCTCAACACTATTTTCTAAATGTATTTCAAAAAGAACACCAATCAATAACAGAATTCGTGGCTTCCCTACAACGTGATATTGCTGAGTGTGAATTTTCTGTCAAGTGTTCATGTGACCAGACAGTTTCAATTGCCGAAGTTTTCCTGAGAGCCCAGTTTATTCGAGGTTTGCGAGATGACTGGCTACGAGAACAAATTCTACAGTCAACTGAAACTACTTTTGAAGGAATCCTTACCAGAGCAATTGCCCTCGAAGCATCAAAAATTGAATCCAGGGAACTGTCTAAACGTTCACATTCAAGTAATGCAAATTTCAATATATGTGACGATGTGAATAAAGTTTCACATAAAGCAAGGAAATCTCAATTCCAAACCGGTAATCGACCTTCCAGACAGCAACAGGGTCACTCCTCACACTCTCGAAAACGTCCAGATCTGAAATCTCTTGGAATTGGTAATCTTTGCTTCAGGTGTGGAAAAGACAATCACCAAGCATCCGAGTGCCGCACCGACAAATCTAAGCTCAAGTGCAACAAATGTAACAAGCAAGGACACATATCTAAAGTGTGCATTTCGACCCTTATCGCAGAACAGAAGAAAATCAATTCTCCCAGTGCAGCCAACTACATCCAGTGCTGTTCTCCTACAGAGTCTACATCGAAATTTTCTGATTACGGACTAAATAAAGTAACTAATGTCAATTCAAGCCCGAAGTTACTAGATCTGTTTGAAGTAAATAACGATTCAGACAAATACATGATCACAGTTAATCTCAATGGTAAACCACAACAATTCGAAGTAGACACAGGAGCAAAATTCTCACTTCTAGCTAAAAATGATTTCGACAAACTCAAATTGGACATTCCATTGGAAACAACTAACATTGCTTTCAGAACTTACTCAGGTAATATTATCAAACCTGAAGGGAAAGTGAAAATAAATGTTACTTACTGTGGACGTTGCGTCAAAGAGGAACTCCACATTGTTCCAACAGGACACGAAGCACTCTTGGGACGTCAATGGATAAGAGCCCTAGGAATCGAACTGAACAAATTGAATGAAGACACAAATCAAAGCACTCAAATTTCCCAAATCAAAAGAATCCAGTCTCCTGAAGAAATCTTTCAGTCTTTTTCCAACATTTTTGAAGAGAAAATTGGATGCGTTCCAGACTTCAAAGTGTCATTACAGCTTCGAAATGGTGCAAAACCTATTTTTGTTAAGGAACGAAATGTCCCACATGCTTTAACCGACCGAGTGAACAAGGAATTGGACACACTGGAAAATGAAGGGATCATTTCACCTGTAGAGGCCAGCGATTGGGGATCGCCACTGGTTGTCATTCCTAAACCAGACGGTGGTGTCCGCCTCTGCGTCGATTACAAATGCGGTGTCAACGAGCGTCTAATTCAAGCAAATCATCCTATAAGGCGTATTGATGATGTTATTGACAGTTTGCGCAATTCAAAATACTTTTGCAAACTTGACCTCTACAAAGCCTATTTACATCTCCAGGTGGATGAAGAATCTAGCATGATACAGACAATGACGACTCACAGAGGTACTTATAGAGTACATAGACTCAGTTTTGGCATCAAAACTGCACCATCAGAATTCAACCGCATACTCTCTCAGATCTTAAAGGGGTTACGTACGACAGAAGCATATTTTGATGACATTATTGTGCATGGTTCGACCATTGAAGAATGCAGTGAAAATTTACAAGCCTGTCTACAGAGACTCTCTGATTACAATTTACATGTCAACAGAAACAAATGCTCATTTTTTCAAGAAAAAATTGAGTATTTAGGACGAGTCGTAGAGTTCAACAAAATTAGTAAATCTCCAACGAAAATTCTAGCAGTCCAACAGATGCCTCGCCCGTCCAATACTGAAGAGGTCAAACGTCTACTCGGACTTGTGTCGTACTACTCACGTTTCATCCCTGATGCTTCAACTATCACATATCCTCTGCGACGTCTGTTACAGAAAAATATGAAATGGGAATGGAATTCATCCTGTGAAGCAGCATTTTTACAAATCAAATCAGAGCTCTGCAGTGATCGAGTTCTCGTACCATTCGATCCGGCTCTCCCTCTAGTACTAACTACAGACGCCAGCCCTACAGGACTTGCAGCCGTGCTTAGTCATGTCACAGAAGGAGAAGAAAAGCCCATTGCATATGGTTCTCGTTCTCTTACAGTTTCTGAAAGAAATTACAGTCAATTAGACCGTGAAAGCCTCGCTATTATTTTTGGCGTGTCACATTTCTACTATTACCTTTTTGGGACTCACTTCACACTAGTAACTGACAATGCACCCATTTCACGGATTTTCCAGCACAACAAAGCACTCCCTCAAATGACATCAGGACGTTTACTCCGATATGCATCTTACTTATCCGGGTTCAACTACACATTAAAATTCAAACCTGGCAAGGAAAATGAAAATGTTGACTGCCTCTCAAGAGCTCCACTTCAGCAAGTAAATTCGACTGTTGATGAAATCATTGCCAATGAAGTCAACCAAGTATACGAACAAATGATTTTCGAGATGTCAGATGAACACATAACCGCTTCAACAATAAGGAGTGAAACAGAAAAGGATCCAGACTTATCAAGAATTGTAAAAGATCTAAAAAACAAGTCTGATGAAACAGAATATACATTGGTTGACGGGATTTTATTTCGCCAAGATTGTGTAATTATTCCAAGAAGCTTACGACCATCAATCTTAAATGAACTTCATTATACCCACCTAGGTATAACAAAAATGAAACAGCTGGCCCGCCGCTACGTCTACTGGCCCAGTATCGACAAAGAAATAGAACGTATTGTCAGAGGATGTGAAAAATGTGCTCTCACTTGTCACAGCCCTCCCAAAGTTCCAGTACATCCCTGGGATACACCACAAGAGAATTGGGAAAGGGTTCATATCGACTATGCAGGACCGCTTGATAATACATATTTTCTCATGTGTGTTGATGCAAAATCTAAATGGGCGGAGGTGAAAATCATCAAAGACTCACCTACTAGTGCGAACTGCGAACACAATTAATCTTTTAGAAGGAATTTTCTCATGTCATGGATATCCTCAAGTACTCATTTCAGATAATGCTACCATTTTCAAAAGTGATATTTTTCAAAATTACTGCAAAACAAACGGTATTTTCCAGAAATTCATCGCTCCAGGGCATCCGGCAACAAACGGTTTAGCCGAGAGATCAATCCAAACACTAAAGAATCGCCTGAAAGCAGTCTCAACTGACCAAACTCCAATCCAAACCAAAATTCAAAATATTTTACAAAGGTACAGAGCAACACCGCTAGCTTGTGGTCAGTCCCCGGCGGAACTCTACCTGCACAGAAAAATAAGGATAAGACTAAATGCCATTTTCCCGTACAAACCTCAACCTTCAACTACACAGTCTTCACCTGCACGTTCACTATATGTGGGGGAGAGGGTACAGGTCAAACTTTTCATCAATAATAAAAACATATGGCAGTTTGGTCAAGTAAAGAAGAGGCTTGGGAAAATACACTATCTCGTAGTTCTCGACTCATCTGATAGAATCCTGAAGAGGCACATCAATCAACTACGCCCAACGCTGGTACAGAGTCCAAAAACTAAAAATGTTACATTCGGACCAACGCAGTTGTTTGATGTTCCCAGAATTCCAAGACGACCAGAAATACATAGGAATCCAGATCCAGTTGCAGCTCCAGAACCAAGGCAACCAGAAGAACAATCTCCAGCAGAAAGAGCTCAAGCTGAGAATGTCATACCACAACGTGAGCAAGCTGATAATACCAACGCCAGACCACAGCGTAAGCGTCACATGCCCTCAAGATTTAGAGACTACCAGATTTGATTGAAAAAGATTGCTCTTAATTAGTGGGGAAGACTGTCATATCCTTTAGTCTATCTTGACTTCATATGATTTAGTTAATAATTCAAATAAGGTCAAGACAGATGATAATTTTTTTCAATGTTTACATTTTACTTTATTATAGTTAATCATAACAATTTTCAATAAAAGAGTTTCTTCAAATGTGTGCTTATTATGAACTCTAATTCAAAGTCACAACACGAGCATTGGCTCCTTCCCACTCAGATAAGACTGTTATCCAAGGCAAGCCCTTGCAGTGTGTTCAATCCTGAGAAAATTTAATAGCTGTTTGATGGTTCGAAACTGGACCCAGCTATTCCTGATCATTGGGCTTTAAATAAACTAGTTGTTACCCACTGGCTTCGCCCAAGGCCCCACTAGAAAAACAGGCCATGCTACAGCGCGGGCAGCGCAACACTACGCCGAGCAGCGCAACACTACGTCACAGTGGTGGATAGCTGTACTAAACTCTTACCATTACAATCTTACAAACAGCCAGCTTGTTTATTTACCTAAAACATATGGGAATGGCGATGGCAACGAATTTATAAATGAAATCTATCCACTATAGCTCGGCCGCTTAGAAAACGACCTGCGCGCTAATGCTAAACCAATGCTGGAGGAGGTCGTTTTCTAAGCGGCCGAACTATAGTGTGAAATCTTATCCATAAGTATTAATAAAACTATTGATTAGTTAGGTTAAGTTAAGCTGAAATAAACAAAACAGAATACAGTAATACAAACAAATAATCACACCTGATTTTAAAAGGTAATAAATTGAAAGAATAACATACAAATAAGTACAGCTGAGGTATTTTTAACATAGGTATATGGAAAGTTCCCTTTAGAAAAGAATTACAAAATTAAATGGCAATTTATGAAATAATGGATAGTTTTGCACAAGGTTTCTCGTCATGACGAACATTTTAAGTATATGGTTTATGGGGATGTGACTTTTGGTTTTCTCAAAAGTCCATGGGTACTTTGGGATTTATATTTGGATGATCCTGACGGATGAAACAGCTGATCTTAGTCAGTAACAAAATTACACATTTCACACCATTCTACACTTATCCTTCACTCATATTTGGGTTAAAGTTAAAATATGTACCTTGGTGGTGTCCCAATCTCAATTTATAATTTTGAGATACGTTCCACGAACAGATCTGTAATCTATGTGGACGGGCAAATGCAAGTTAGAGATGAATTGTATGAGATGAATTTTCTCAGGTGATAAAAATGTAACGAAAACGGATCATTTCACAGTAGTGTAGCGAAAAATTATTGTCTTTTATGTTTGTACAATATATGTTTGTACATATTTGTCATCCAGCGAATTTTTATCATGCTTATAAATATTTTACCTACGACCGTTTTTAAACTAGCCGTTTTAGTTCAGTTCTTAGAATTGAAAAAATTCACTCAACATAGCATTGTTTATTTACTTAACAGCATTATTTATTTACTTAACAGCATTGTTTTACTTAAAACACAGGAAACGAACCAATGAGGTTCAAGGATTGAGAGAAGGGAAGTTAAATTGTAATGCATGAACTTCAACTAATCAGCTGTTTTAACCGATTTAATTGTCAATGAGTGGTGCAATAAGCGTTTGGTACAATGATTAGTTGCATCACTGTCATGGCAATGAGAGGTTATAAACAAAAACATAGTCTCTTAGAAGTTATGAGTAGTGATTGTTAGTAATTAAAAAAAAAAACTGTTGTAGGTAAAGTAGTGTACCTACTCAAATCACCAAGGCCGAGTACTTTAGGCTCAACTTGCCAAGGCTCGTACTACCTTAAATTTCTAGTTCTACTTGTATCGTTAACACTATCTTTTATCTTTACGCAATTGTTGCGTAAACTACTAAATAAGCTCATATTCCACCATAATATTGAAAATTTTACCTTATATGATTTATGTAGTCTAATGCAATGTTAAATTACAATGAATTATTTTTATAAAGTAAATAAAATTATATTTGCAAATATATCATTGAGAAATGATTACCATCGTCATACAGCAGCAAAAACAGCCATTTTTAATGCATGCGTTAAGGGTGTAAAGTAGCACTCTCTAGGGAGTAAAAAGCGTTTTTTGCCCCTAGGAAGTAAAAATCAGCGGTTGTTAACTCAGTTGTAGATTTTGATTGTAAACAATTGCATGTATCGAAAGTACTGGTATGTATTGATTGCTTAATCGATTGTAGTTAATTTTTGTTTTATTGTAAATAGTTTGACATATCGATAGTTTAATGTATACAATCGTAATAGACGAAACAATTGAATCACTTACTACTGTAAATGGCTGCTTGTTTCAATTAGCAAATTAAATTGAAAACAAGTTAGAAGTTATCAGAGGTTGTCTTTAAATGAAAACTATTTTAGTTTTGTAACATTGTTTTTTTTCTTTCAAATAATGGTGTAATATGACAAAAAATATAGTTCATCATACAGGCAAGTGTATTTTAAACCCTTGGTCATTTTCTGACCTTAGCTTGGTCTCAGGTCGAAAAGAGACACTTTAGGCCGTAGTGATGAAATATATTGTGTTTTTATCTATATCTATAAAAGAGGAACTATGTATGTATGTACGTATGTGTATATACGTTATGGACTCCGAAACCGCTCGACAGATTGTAATGAAACTTTCAGGCATTATTAAGCATCTTTCAAGGATGGTTCGAGTGAAGTTTGTTGCAGATCCGTCAAAAGGGCTCTGCCCCAGAGGGTTTTAAGTGGGCCAATGTCAGACTTTTTGATCTAGAATGTTTACAAATAAATATAATTTAAAAGCAGATGTTTACTTTCACCAACTGTTTTGTACGTTTGAATAACTACAACATTCTGTATTAGCATTAGTCATGATTTGAAATAGTGCCACAGTGTTTCTACAGATTGCAGCACAGAAAACTATTTTACTTTTAAATAAGTCCAAATGTATTAAACCCCAATCGCAGCACACCTGTGCACTTAACAACGTTTAAATTCTCCAATGTTAAATATTAAAACATAAAAACCTTTATAAAAGTACTGTATTATAAACAATAAAAGGGTTGACTTTTTTAAATGTATGACAGCATGTTATGAACAGCTCATTTGCAACCAAAAGGTGAGTGAGCGTAGCGAACGAACATCAACCTGGAGGCGAGTAAGCGTAGCGAACGAGCTAACCTGAAAACAAGTTAGCACAGCGAACGATTTCCAACCTGAAGGTGAGTGAGCGTAGCGAACGAACTTCAACCGGGACGTGATTGAGCCATGCGAATACTTATGAAGTTAAACGGGGCAAAGCCCGTGGGTACAGCTAGTTTACTATACATTACCTATACTGTATATTGCTATACATGCCTATGCTGTATATTGCTGTAAGTTTTTGAATAGGTACAATTGTGTTGTAAAAACAATACTTAATGCTTGAAATAAAATTGTACTTTTAATTCAAATTTACAATACCAGCATAAAAGAATAAACATGTTTTTGTAACTGTCCAGAAACTTTCAAAAGAACTTCTTTCATTGGAACATGAAAAAAAACAACCAAAAACTTCACGACATTCATTTATGAATCTTACAAAGAGATAAGATCCAATTATATGATTATTAATTAAACTGTTCACCAAGCAATGATAAGATATCAATGATATTTATCCTAGTTCAGCAAGTTTTGTTGTTTACATTGGATAGCAAATTAATCAGCATCTTTACTTGCAAATCAGCTACATTTTAATTTATAAAATGTGGAACTTACTTAGGCCAGTTCAGTTCAAAGTCATGGTTAACACTGGTAAGTAGTAATTAAATAAAGAATACTAATAGTAATTAAATAAATGAAGTGAGTCACTCCATTAACTAAAAGGAATTGGATAACAAATAATTTATATTTTTGTATCATAAAAAAATTGCAATTCACAAACATAAGAATGGGTTTGAAGTAATAATTTTGTCTTGCAGACTTTTTTCCTCATCTCACTTGTAAGTTGGTTGGTGCTTTCAACATTCCATTACCTGCCCTAAATGACCTCGCGCCTGTGCGTGCAAAGTAGGGATGAGCCCGTAGAGTACAAGAGTGAAGTGTACTGGTAAATATTATTGGCGGCATTGTGTCACATCCAAGACATCACTGCCTAGGATTGGTTGTCCCTTACTGAGCCATTAATATTCAACAAATCACTTTTTTATCTTTGAATGAATATTTGAGTAAAACTTGAGAGCGTTGAAAAGTTTCAAAATTATTAATAACAATTTTGTAAATACCTGTTTATTGTATACTTAAGGTGGAAAGGTATTTACACCATTTCCAAAGTTTTTGTAATTTGAAAGCATCGAATAAATTTTAACTATTATAAAGTAGGCAAATGCCCTGTCATTATACTTAACGACGTATTCTATATATAAATTAATATTTTTCTCTAGGGTCCAACATGAATGCACCTATCAGTTATGAGAAGATGACCTGGTCCATAACTCCCGTTCCACCAAATCCAGTGAGCATGAAACTGTTTCTTCCTCCTCCAATCCCCTTCTCCCGCAGACTCCCTGCTCCCCCTCTTCATCTGCTGCCTACCAACTCCAAGCACAATTCAACACTGAGATGTCCGTGCTCTTGTAAAGTTTGCCATGAGGTAAGGAGATTTAGTCTGGTATGTAACATGGTTTTGATGTCTGTATTTGGTGTAGAAACACTATGTATTGGTCGTTTTCCTAAACTTCTTATAAGATTTGTTTTTGGACAACTCAATATTTTACCAAAATAATTTTTTGCTGCAAAATAATTTGTTGTAAATAAAGAATTTCTCTCTCTCTCTTACCAAAATAATTACCACATGGTAAAAAGTTTTCTGAATATTTGCCATCAAACTTTTGCAAAGTAAACATAATCTTTTGTTATTCTTTCTACATGTTCCTATTGATACTTCTTATCGAAGGCTTTTAGAAATTCACCAAACAATATTACTAGTTATAAACTGGATCATAAAACATATTTTGCTCCCATGTACAGTCAACAATTTATTTTATTTTAATATATTTTGTTTTCAGCACTCACAAAATCTATTGAACACAGTTCATTCTACTAGAAGCATGTTTGACGAAGCTCTGAACTATATAACATCGACTATGGACTCCCTGTTTTCTGCTTTAGGTGTAAAAACTTTGGGTGAAAGATTTTTCTAACATTTTCTGAAAGAGTTTGATTCCAACAGTTGAATCAATAACAAAGATTGAAATAATGTAGTTTTATGTAAGCAGTATCCTGTGTTTGTGTGGATTTTGTTCACAAAATTAAATAAATTGTTTACAGTTGAAATGCTGAAAGATTTCATACCAAATGACTTTATAAACATCGTTAACAGTTTATTATATTAAAAGAACACCATTGTCACAACTTAATTTTACTTCAAGATTTGAGGTAGGTAAAATAATATCACACAGTGAGAACTTTGAAACAACATTTTTAATATGTTTAATATATTTTATAACAGTAAAAACAACACTTGTACAACTGACAATACAGCAGATGAGAGGATATGGTAACACATAACAAACATAATTGTTATTTATTTGAACTAAGAGTAAACATGTAAGGCACTGTATAGCAAGAATGTAAGTAAGAAACAAGGTGTATACAAAATGTCTAAAACCTACAAATTATTTATGCGGTTGAACTCATTATTATGCATTTAATTATTCAGATATTAGAAAACTTAAAACTATTTTCCAACAATAATAAATAGAACAAATGCTGTAAAATGTTAAAGCATAACATTGCACTTATTATTTATTTTCAGTTTTATGTCCTTATTGAAAAGCGCCGTTAGTAACAGGCTTCACTAAATTGCACTTCATTTTGAACGTAAATATCAACAATAATACAAGATTGATCTATAAAACAATTATTACATATATATAGTGCCGAAAATTATGTACATATTGATAATGTTTAGTGTTTAGTGTAAACTTTATCACATCTAGGTAACAAGGTATAATAAACCCTAACAAACTTTACAAAACATGCCTTAAAGTACTTAAAAGGCATTTAGCAAGCAATACAAAACGAAATATTGTAATTTTGTTCTGGTACCTAACATTACAATTGAAATACCTAAATTGTCTAAGCTGGGAAAAGTTTTGTAAAATAATCATGTCACTATTAATTTTACTATTTTCAGCTCATTTAAATTTTGAAACACTTTTGTTCATTCCTAAACAATATTACAAAATTATTTTGTTTGTATTGACAATATTAAAGCTCTTTCTATGATTCATCAATGAGATCAATGTTTCCTTAAGCAGATAATTTTTTAGATCCATCCTTCTTATCCCGAGTTTCGCCTGAAGAAGCTCGAGCTCGTTTGGGTCTGTAATCGCTCACTTGAGAATTGACAGTTCGTTTTCTACCTCTTCTCTTTTCATCAGCAGGCCTTCAAACAAAATTTTTTTGATAAAGACTATACTTTTTTAAACTTTTCAAAATATTACATATACTTGTCTTACAGCCCTATTAGAGTACAGTTATTTTAGTAATTTTTACAGTAGACTATTTTTAAACAATAAAAACATATCTGAGGTAAGTGAATGGTTATATAAATTACCTGGTCATCATTAGGTTGCTAACTAGATCCTGAGAAAAGTTTGAAGCACTTTTTTTGTTTGAAATTAGAGCACAGTTGATGGATAAACGCAGAGGGTCTAGACGTAAAAAATGCCTATGTGGCTTATAGAGTTAGCGGAAAGCTATACACATTTGCACTATTAGGCCCACATCGGTGATCATGTCATGACTTTGTATACCAAATCCTGGTAATTTAATCAATGACTCAAATGGAATTGGTGAATAATCGCTTTATTGTGCAAAACATAGTAGTGATGGTAAATATTTTGCAAATGTACGCGACGTCCTCCAAAGTACCTCCACCCAGTACGCACATTCAATGTTTGAAAGCTTTTCTCCATTAACCCACCCAGTGTCAAACATTGATGCAACGACTGTAATCGACACACTCTGGGATGTCAAGCGTCGATGCATCGACAGTGCAGACGGTTACATATTGTCTTTTAAAAAACCCAGTCAATTTCAGTCTGATCTGGACTGGATCTACAGGATGTTCAGAAAAGGTGGGGGCAAAATTTACGTAGTGGTTCCTTGTGTCTAGGGGTGTGCGAAGCAGCAAAAAATTTTCGATTCGAAGCAACGATTCGATTCAAAAGATTTTCGATTTGATTCGATGCAATTCGATTCGAAGCAATACGGTATTTTTCTATTCATAATTGTCAATTGAGTGGATTAACAATAAATTAAAATTTACCACATTTGTGTAAGACAAATTTTTGTTGATGTGGTATTAGGCCTATTCATACTTAACATATGAATTTTAGGTGAACAAATATTTATTTTAAATCATATATTAGAATAACCTGTATTGCTGGAAATACCAGTGAGCTGCTTTACTTGCCTATTTCATAATTTTTACTTGGAATTGGCTCAACTGCAAGAAAGAAGAAAATCATTTTTTTTATCAAGACATTCATTCTCATTTTAATAACTGTTTAAATAACTAAATAGGTAGCTAAATTACAACAAATTTGAATAGAACTTAATATAAAAAAGACCATTAACAAATCAATTAACATATCACAAGTTTAGGGCCTGTGGACCGGCTTCAGGACTGCAAGCAAGAAGAAAATAAAAATAACATGTTTCCACCATGCAACATGTATCATTCATTCCCTGCCTCCTAACCTCCTTAGTATAATAACCTCACACTTACATTATTTGTTACATCATAATAAATAAAGAATTATCTATTATTGGCATCAGTAGGCCTACAGCTTTACATAGGCATTATTTTTTATAGGGCCTAAAATAGTAATAGGCTAGAAGTAACATGACAAGTGGAGAACTCATCGAAGAAAAGATATTGTGTAAACTAATTTCCTATAAAACTCAAAAACAGTAAATAACATACAAACATTGTTTATGGTATAATTAGTAAGGACTAAAAAATGCATATCATGTCATACAGTAGTATAGACCTACTGCAAGAGATTAAAATCCTAAAACAACTGATTTTGATAAATGAATGAAAAGAATTAAAAATCCATAAAATAAAGCCAAACAATATCACAATTAATTAGGTACCCGAAAAGTAACTCTTAAATAATATATATAGAAGATTAAAATAATATTAAATCAAGAGATAAGAAAGTTAAATGCTAACTTCTAGTGCCCTTAGCAACACAGGTCAATGTTTTTAAACTACCCTCAATGTTTTTGGAACAGCAGGGTCTTTTTCTCTGAAGGACGGGTAGTAGTATGTCAACAAAAACAATGAATCACTCTCACCAGCCAGGCCCGGGCAACGATGTGTGCATTCAAGGTCATAGACCCTCCTCCCCTCTTACACCACCCGGTTGCTACCCGGTTGCTCCAATTGCTGACAAATGCAAGTGATGAAACAAGGAAGTAGAGACAAAAAAATATATTTCTTTATTCAAAAACACAAAACTATAACAGATCATTTTCAAAGAAATTAATTCATTGTAATTTGTGAGTTGTAAATATTGTATTGGATTTTAGAAAAATATATTTTTTAAACCCCATCTAACCAAGATACAGATCTGTTTACTATATCAGATATTTCTTTTGTTTATATTATGTAAAATACTAAAATATATTTTTAATTAGGTATGGGATAAATGATTAAACTAGTATGTCTGTATAAATAGTCTTTTTTTACTTTGTTTTCTTTGCACTGTTAGTGTTGCGTCACGGCTTTTGTCTTGTCACTCTTGTCAGTCAGTAGACGACTAGACTGGCTCTGGCTAGTGGCAGTGCGGCAATTGCTCTGTTGTGTCTTTATTCTTAAAGAAAGGTCGTGAGCCAAACTTAAACTTTAATTCTCATTTGAACATTTTAATTCCTCTGTAATAATAGATATAATAGGCCTAATATAAGAATTTCTTTGGAAATAAATTATTCTTTTTTTTTAACGGCCGTATCAGATGTGCTTCTGATTCAGAAAAAAGTTCTTAGAATCATGTGCAGAGCTAATAGATTGGACCACTGTCGACCTTTATTCAGACAAATGAAAATTTTAACAGTAACTAACTTATACATTCTACATATTCTAATTTACACTAAAACTAATCTTCACCTTTTCCTCACCAGGCAAGATATACACCTACATGAAACCCGAAACAGGACAAAACTCAATATTCCACAGCACAGATTGGCAAAATTCGGCAAATCACACAAGGCAAATTGTATCAAATTTTTCAACAAATTACATGAATCGGCAAGGACCACCACACCAAAAATCTTCAAAAATAAGGTAACTGCTTGGCTCTTAGACAATCCATTTTATAATATTTATGAATTTTTAAATACATGTGTAGAAATTAGTTTCTAGCTGTAGGTAGATTTTTATGACAACCTGTTTTAATTTAATGTAACTCTGACAATGCCTATCTCATGTATATGATCAATGGCAAATAAACCATTTCATTTCATTTTTCATTTCATTTCATTTAACAAATCTTTGACCTGACCTGAAAAATTCGGGGACCCACAGACCCCTAACAAAAATACCAAATTTATCAGACTAAAACATCAATCTTGCTAGTTAAGTATTAAGTAACAATTTTTCAGACTTATTTTTAGAATGATTTTGGAGTAGCCTATCTTGTTTTGGTAAGGTTTAAACAGTAGTAAAACATGTCTCACACTGCTTACATCAAGACAAAAAACAAAACCTCTCATCATTTGCAATGTCAAAAAAAAATATAAAACAATTAAAGCTATATTTAATGCAAAGAATGTATTAAATAAGAACGCCTTCGTAAAGGAAACGCAACCGCAACGCGCTCCTGTATTGCGGGTATTGCATTGACTTTCTGCAGGCGTTTTTCGTATATGGATACGGACTCCCTCATGAATCGAATCGTTTTTTGACCACCACTGAATCGAATCGCGATTCGATGCATCGAATCTAATCTAATCGAAATTTCGATGCATTTTCGATGCATCGCACACCCCTACTTGTGTCCAAATATAAAGAAAATCAGGAATAAAACTTTTCCAAAATCACTTCATTAACCAGATAGGCCTATCCTCAATTTTGTATTTATTACATAACAATTTTTTGGATTGTTACATACCTAATGAAAATTGGTATGTATGTTAGGGTAGAAGAGATCCATGTTACAAAAAAAGGTTATCTTTATTCAATTTAAAATGTTATATTTTTATTTATTAAAATTTAATTACAAAATGGCTGATAAAACAAATACATAATAAGTTTTGTTTTACTGTTTCCAGATGTTTTGAGAAAGTCAATGTGTTGGTGGCCGTGTTTTTGTTGTTATTTACATTTTTCAAGTTGTTGGTTACTAACTATATCATTTTCTTTATTGAAACTTGATTTTTATCTGTTTAGACAACCTACCTATTTAGATGTACAAGATAATCAATAATGACTAACTTGTTGGTTTGATGTGTTTGCAGTATAATGTTTTTAAGGTTATCTGTAAAGGCAGTAAAGTCCTTGTAAAAGGCTTAGTGGATGTTCCCCTATCATATTTATGATTTATGTTTATGGCTATCCTAAAAAAAATTAACCCGCCTATTAAAGTTCATATTTTCTTTTTCTATAACATCTATTGTATTATTAAAGTGATACATTCCAATTTGAGTAAATGTATAAGGCATTTTATCAAATAAAAATAAAGGCAAATGGCACATGAAAATGAAGCTTGGAGTGTGTATATTTGCCGAAAAGTATTTGTTTGGACAAATTTATTAAGGGCTCTGCCCCACAGGCCTACTTCCAAAAGGCTGCGCCTGACATGCTTCTAAAGAATGATTTAATTTAATTTCTTTAATGAAACAGCTGGTCAATGCAATTAACTGGTGTTTGTTTATTTACTCGAAAAAGATGTTTGTAATGCTTCATTTAGATTGAGGAAATATGTGGGTTATTTTGGCCTACTAAAGTTCATATTTTCTTTTTTTCTATAATATTTATAAATAAATGGCTATTACAGGAGTTTCATTTAGTTAACACTTATTCATAAAAATAGTGGCACAAACATTTTTTCATATTTTTATTTTGTAGTATTCAAGTATTTTTTAATCATACAATGGGTATTAAAATCCAATTAATTATGCTGAGTTATGATGTGCATGAATTTAGCTGCATGGACGATTTTTTATGATTTTTAATGAAGATAGATGAAAAATGCCTTAAAATCGACCAACACAACAGACAAAATGACTTAATAAAAAATGACAGAATCAATATACTTAAAACCACTCTTGACAACTCCTGGCGACAGTCTAGAGCTTACTGAAATGTACAATTGAATGTAGGCCCCTAATTTTTAAATACCTTGATAGTCCGTTGATTTCCTCATGGTTTGATACTATTGAGAGAACTTCTTCGTCACAACCAATTCTTGGTGCAGAAGGCAGCACTCTGCAAAAAAATACATTTCTTGTTAATAACTTTACTACTATAACTTTCTTGGTATATTAATTAACGGTCATCGTTTATAGTAACATTCAATCATAAAATAACGGTTGAATATTATTCTAGCATGTCTGAAACTTTGGTTATGTTGAATTTCAAACTGTGATTTGGAGTCTTTGAGGTTGATAGGCCTGATAAGTTTGCTGCTGCTTTTTCTCATTGGAGAATGGCTGTGTATTATATGTGTCCTTTAATGGATGTAAAAAACAGGCTATTAGAGACAAACTTGAGAACATTTTAGATATTTTAACAGCCTTAGCCTGAGTTGTAAACAAGTTGAAGATAACCATTAGGTGCTTAAGTCAAACTCCTGCTACAGTATATAGTTATCTGGTCTATAGGGTCATTACATCCCATGTTCAACTGCACCATTCCTACAAAATTATTTTCCAATTGAGAGTGGGTACCTACTGTTTATTGCATTTTTTGACCACTATCAACAATTTCTTTTATGATAACCAACAATAATGACAATTATTCTGCTACTAGTGGCCTGTAGGGGCCATTGCCCCTAATTTAGACTACAATAAAAAAAACCATATATAAAAAGGCAAATATTCGAAATATGTTTTTAAAATTATCAATTTTATGTTACTTAAAATTAACAGTGTTTCTTGTTTTATATCTTGGTTTTCCTTCCGTTGGAGTCGTATATTAGTTGCTTCTGATGTGTCAATGAAATACAATTGTAAAATGATGATTAGGCCTAAATCAATAACACAACATATTAACAAATGGAAACGTGCACACGGTTTGGCCTGAGCCCGGAGAACGACGAATCAGAGCTGAAATTATACAGCCAAACATTGCACATCTTTTCTAGTTTAAAATTGAAGATTTTTTTTGTAATCTTAAGAATTCTGTTATAGTTTCCATTTTGAGAACCAAATGTAAAGGTTAAAATTATTATTAATTATTATGAAGGCAACTCCCCATTTTGCGGTAGTAAGTCGGAAATATACCTATGAATTTGTCCCTGATTTATAAAACAGTAAGGTCCATTTCCCGGAATCTCTTTTTGTGTAGCGGAAAGCGACGCAAAAGCCATTGCACTGTTGTATTGCCTCATGTTTTTTATGAAGTTAGAATCATGTAAAAACAGTTCTTTTAGTTCGTCATTTGGGCCTACTTGTGGTTGTGGCATGTTAATAAGTCCATTGTAGCAAAATGCGTAGAAATGTCCATTTGTGGCCTCCTCTGCGAAGTGAAATGCACCACAATGCATGCAAGTGCTGTTAAGAGGACCTAGATAATGAAAACAACACTAAACTCATTTTCCAGCGTTCTTCTGAAGCAGGCTGTAAACCAGCTTTAGGATTTCTTTCATAGTTAGGCCTTACATGACGTTCTCTTTTAGCATTTCTTGTGTCAGTTGAATTCCTGGATACTCTTCCCCGTCTTGCAGGTCTTCCCCTACCCTGTCTAGTTACTTCCCCCATTATAAAAACGGAGGGGGGGGGAATTAAACAAAGACATTTCATTTTGAAACATTATTTTTTAGCAACATTGACTTTTGGAATAAATGTAAACATTGCTAATAAATAAGTAACAGCTGATTAGAATGCAGAGGTTTTTCAGTCCCCATGCTTTTCTTACGGTGGGTATTTTACGTTATATCTCGTTTTCTGCTAACTTTATGGGAATTCTGCTATTTTTCCCGAGTCTCTGGGGTCAAGACCTTTAATTTAAGACCCCTTCCGCTTTTCTGCGTCTTACCAGACGTCCACAATTTTCTGGTAAAAATTTTGTAGCCTATTACAGAATTATATATAAGAATTGGTCGGATTTAAAATCATTGTTTATTTTGGTGTCTTGACAATCAGGCAAAAAGGAAAATTGTCAAAAAGCAATAGGGGTGTTGTAGAGCATCGTAGTTAGTGTCTCGGACTTAGCCTGGATGAAAAGGTTACAGATTCGATTCCCAAGAAAAGCACAAAAATGTATGTGGATTGAGTCTCCCCTTGAAAATAATTGCACTTCTTAAATGTAAAATATCACTGTGTTGAAAAGTGACTAAGACCTATAGTATTACTTACAAAATTAGCCTGTTTCAGAATTCAAACTTAGACTGTGTAGTGTGTAGTAAAGTAATAGTTTCAGTACAAACCTGCGTAGAATTATGACAGCTCTACGCGCTACAGTGTCTTCAGGACGAACACAATGCGTTATCTCATCAGCCGCAAAACCGCTAGAACAGGGGAGTAAGTGATGAGTTAATACACAACCATCATATTAAATTGTAGGTATTTTTAACCATTAATATTTTATAACAAAAGCACATTTTTTTCATCAGGTGTTTGCCTTTTATGGGATGGTGAATGTTAAAAAACAAATTAACACTATTTCATAACACTTTTTACTCACTCTGTCTTTTTATACCCAAAAATTATTTGCACGCCACTAAAAACAGCTGTAGTTCAATAAAAGCTTACAAAATAACATTCCTGATGTTCTAGAACAACTGTGCAAAAACAAGATAGGACAGGATTAGAAATAAAAATATTACACAACAGTTTAGCTGTGACAGAATAATTAAGTAAAATCAAAATGGCAAAACAAGTTTTGGTAAGAAAAAAGAAATAGATGAAGGAAGATAAGCTTAATATGACTTAAGAGAGAAATTGTTGAAAGAATTGGTGAGAGAGATTGGAGAGAGAGTGAATTTTGTAGGAATGGTGCAATTGAACATGGTATTTAATGGCCCCATAGACCAGATGACTATATACTGTAGCAGGAGATTGACTTTAGCACTGAATGGTTATCTTCAACTTGTTTATATTCGCCTTGTTTATATTGGGTCTGATGCTGATTGGAGTATCCAATCCAAATCGATCACCACTTACTTACCATCTTTTATATGTATTTACCGTCTCGTGAGTAAACATTTTAAGTGTAAATATATTTGACATATTTTTTGTGCTTTCATGGAAAGTGAACACATGGTAAACCACAAATGAATTTGCTAAAGAAAAGTGGCTGTTTTATCAGGCTATTATCAGGCATATTATTCTCCATTAAGGAGCAAAAAGAACGCTGAGTCAAGATTTCTCTTTTTTAATAATTTTATAACTAAAGGAATTGGAGCACATAACATTTGAACTGAGTGAGTCACAATTACAACAATCACTAATCTATACCTCAACTGAAACACTTACCTCAATAAGGTGACACATCCTCTTTCCAAAGGTAAGCAGAAGATAGGTTTAGACACTCGGATAGGTTTGAAAGTGAACTTGCAGCCGAAACTGAGCATCGAGTCACTCATGAACGACACCGAAACTATCGGCCTGTCAACAAATTTCCATTTAGGCCTAAGTGATATACACATAATGAATTTATATTAGGAAAATAGACATAGGATGGGTATTGTTAAGGCAAAACACAGTGAATTGGTTATGTGCACCTCAATTTTCTCACAGTAGGTAATGCTCTACGCATGGATATTACAATATTTTTATCGAGTTCAGTTTTTCATCAATACAATCTATGAATGAGTCTTATTCGTTGTTCAAAGGTTTATTGCGGACATTTCTTATTCTTTTGCGGGAGTCTTATTCTTTTGGAAAATATCAATGTTACATTGAAACGAGTTAACCCTTAAGCGTGCGCTCATTTTTTTTACGGTGGAGCATGCATGGGGGTCTAGTGGACCCCCAAATAAAAAATGGGTATGAAAAAGTTTTTGATATTTAGCTCTTTAACACGTTCGCTACTGCAATAGTACAAAATTTTTCATTCACATGGACCAGCGACGCACATATGCGACGCCCGGTTTCCACCCATAGACTGCCGTCGCATATATGCGTCGACTAGTCACATTAAAATAGACTGCCGTCGCATATTTGCGTCGGGGTTCTAACGTTATTAAAATGCTTATATCTTTGTAACAGTCTATTTGAAGGCACTGAATTCCCTGCAGTGGTCTACAGAGATGTCTGACGCACAACTGCGTCGCTTGGTCTATGGATATGATGATTGGTGACGTCATATGATAGTTGGAAAAACTGGTCTTTACTTTTCTGCATCACTGTATGTATGTATGCAGTATGTATGCTGCATTATCCTATGTAGTTTTTTATATTCGTTCAGTTATAAACTGTTCTTGAATAATCTGTTTTTTTTTTTACTTACTTTCACCTTAAAACACAAAAAAATTAACTGTCGCATATATGCGACGTTTGGTCTATTTCATTAAAACTATGATAATTTTCACTATGGTCTTTGCTGTAGACCGGGTGTCGCAAATATGCGACATTACAAAAGGTTAAATAAAAAATACAAAAAACAAGAATAAATTATTTACAAACACGATTGTGGCGTATTACAATGTAAATGATCACTGTTTTAAAGGTTTTCGCCCGTGGTCTGTGTGTACTGTTATCCAAGTGACAGCCGGTCTATGTGTAAGATTCAAATGTATACCTCGGTCTGTGGCAATGACCGCGGCGTCGCATATATGCGACGCTCAGTAGCGAACGTGTTAAACTTCAGACGTAATATCTAGATTCATTTTCTCATATTGTTACGTAAATTTTATGATCCTACCATATTTTTAATTAATTTGAAAATAATAGTATGTTTTAACTCTGAATTTTTTCATGATGAAATTAAATATTGGTGTTAAAGAGGAGCGAATCATACTTACACAAATTTTTATTGCAAACAACTATTATTTTTAACTAGGGGAAACCCGTCGAAATCGACGGTTACTTTCAAGGCTTACGTTAATTCATCTAACTGCGATAAATTGGGTGAAATATACATATTTTGAGCATTTAGCATTGTTTAAAGGGTAGTAAGTGTGAAAACAATAATGATTTTAATTGCGTTAGTTGCCAAATTTGGTTGATCATTCAATGATTAAAATATTTCCCATACCGTACGTCATTTGACTCATCGGAGTTATTATTAGTATGTTATATGATATCTCTTCCTTTGGAAGAACCTTTAAATAGTATTAAAGTCGTATTGGTGGGTCTTTTGTAGTTAAACACTTCTGTGATTTCATCAGTGTAATATGATTTTATTTGAAATGAAAATATTTTTTGGGAAGAAAGTTCTAACTTCAAAGGGAGGTATGTCCGTTACAGTGTAAGTTTGATTTTTCCTTCGTCACGTCGCGTCAGTTCATATCGTACTTCTGTGCCAATGAATGAACCCTCTAGCATAGTTATGAGAAATTTATTGTGGGGTTACTGTTAAAGCTGGAATTCCTTGACATGGGGGATGTCAGTTAGTTGTCTCAGCCTTATCAATAACATAAAGTTGTCAATATAATCTCTCTACGGAATGATAGGTGTAGTGGAATACTTGAAGTGAAGTTGGCTTTTATTCTTAAACTGTTAGGGACCTCCTAGTTTATATGGTCTTGCGGCTTCATTGGCAACAAATAATGCAAATGACATAGCAATGGGACATTTCCAAAAAGAAAAAATACTGTAAATTGGCTGTTGCGTATATATTGACGTTTACATATTGTAAATCAACGTATCTTATAAAGGATTATGAGGTCTAGTTTAAAAGGAATATAACCTTTCTGTCATGACAGTAGCTGCTAAAATAGTATTTTCTCTTTGTACCATATTTTACAGCCAAAATGTCGTGTTATTTTCAATAATGTTACCAACCCAGTGCGCCAAAGTCCGTAATATAGGCAGGTGCAAATAATTTGTCAAGATGGGTACCATTTTAGGCAATGTTTCTATGTTTGGATTTTATTAGACACGATAAGAGCAGATATTTCTACATGAATATTTGATATGTGTAGAATAATATGATAAAATTTAGGCAAAAGTGGTGAAAAAGGCAGACACCAACCCGTACAATAGATATAAGATAGTTCAATAAGAAATAATTTAAGAATTTCTGTTATCAAAGGATTTTCCACTGATTTCGTAATAGAACGTTATATTGCAAAACATGACATGATAAAGAGGAAAATTAATTTTAAAATCAGAAAATACAATTGCAAATACTTATTTGGTACAATTCAGTAACCCAATAAATATGAGTGGTTTGAAATACAATTTAAAAATGAACAGCTGTTTTATTAAAAAGTACTAGCTGTACCCGCGGGCTTTGCCCCGTTTAACTTCTTAATTTTCAAGATGAGCTCGTTCGCATGGCTCAATCACGTCCTGGTTGAAGTTCGTTCGCTACGCTCACTCACTTTTAGGTTGAAGCTCGTTCGCTGCACTCACTTGCCTTCAGGTTAGCTCGTTCGCTACGCTAACTCGCCTCCAGGTTGAAGTTCGTTCGCTACGCTCACTCACCTTTTTTGTTGCAAAATAGCTGTTGGCATAGATTAAAAAATAATAATAGTGCTGCACCCTGTTGGTAATCCTTGTAACTTTAATGCTATTGCACATCATAGAACAGAACCAACTTGTTTAATTGAAACAGCTGTTAAGATTCATTAATTCCATTTAAATATGAGTACTCATAAGGTTAACATGGGAAACTCCAGAACCACTGGGGTGGAGCCCGAGAGTCCGATCAGAATAAAAACAACTTAGTTTTCCTATTTAATGCCTAAAGAATCGGTGTACCAAATATCAGCCTCCTAGGTAAATGGGAAGTGGGAGAATTAGTGATGAGTGAGTGAGTCAGTCAGTCAGTGAGGGCTTTGCCTTTTATATATATATATAGATTATTCACATGGCCAAAATGTAAACAACTCTTTGGAGGGATCTTTAAAGGCTTCTGGGGCAGATCCCTAAGGGATTTTGCTTAGTTTTTCTTTTGATTTCTCATCTACAGACCAAGACCTTTCTTTGGACACCTCTACCAAGTTTCTACGCCCAGCCGTTCTCTCAAATTAGTGGGGACAAAGTTTCCAATTAAATATTTAAATTCCCCCATGTTAATCTTATGGGAGAAAATCCAACTTTGATGGCCTGTGGGGCAAAGCCCGAGGATTTTTATTACATGAATTGGTGAAAGGGGGCGTCTACAGAAAAAATACTTTATTTTGACACGTCGTTTGTAAAAATCCGTCCATTATTAACGGAGGAGTAGTGTTTTCAAGAAATCGCCTTCACGTATTATATATAAGGATTTTACAAAAGTATAATATTTGTAAAAACCCATGGAAGCAGCAAATATTTCATTAATTAATACATTTGCCGGTTTGTAGAAAATGCTGTACAAAAATATAAAAAATTAAAAACTTTCTTTTATAATGCATGTTTTTCTTTAAACATCCTCATTCAGTTGGTTTAGAATTCCTTTTAAAGCACACTTCACAAATATTTTACACTAGCGGTTTGCCCGTTCTACGTACGGGAATCTAGTAGTAAGTTAAAACCTTATATTCAGAACAGGAGTTGGTTTGCATATTTAGTGTGCATTTTTCCAGATATGATGGCAAAACTATAATTGTTTAGGAATACATATAAACCTTCTCAAATACAATATCTGACAGTTTCAAAGCCAAAACGAATGCTTCGCAATTAAATGTCACCCGATCGTGTTAGTTCATATTTTATATCTAACGATGAAAGGAATTGCTTTACAGTATAGATCTATGAGGCATAGCCCTAAGGTAGGCCTGTAATTGAAAGTTACTTTTCACACTGGTTAAAAGTAGTTAAAACACTACCTCAACCTCACTACTGCACACTTATTCGGGTTGAAATTTTTATTAACAATGGTGCTCTTGTCTTTTCCACGAAAAATAAGGACATTAGTGCGTTACCAATAGACATACACACACAAATACAGAATTGAGTCCACACAACATTTTGGAGTCCAGACAGAAAACGCTAAAAATTATACAGTAAGAAATCAAATAAATAAGCATAAAAGCAGCAGCATTAAATTAAATAAGCAATAAGGTGCAGTGTTTATAAATAAATAGTGATGTGTTTGTAAGTTATGTAAAAATGATTCTTACTGCTACCACCGGTTCCAAAAAAGGAAAGGAAAAGTAGCATTACCAAAAACCAACGTTTACATTTGAGAAAAGAACTGTAAGTAGTACTTGCGACTAATTCAACCTGTCCTTCTAATAAAACTGTACGGTATTATAGGTGTTAATCTGTTGGCAAATATATAAATAAATAAATACACAGGCCACAAAACATGTAACATGTAACGTTACCAACGTAAAGCTTTAAAAACTCACTATGGTTTGCTAAAAAAACTTTCACTTGATGTGGTGCAGTACCGAAGTTATTAATCTCCTTTGGTTTTAAATTTGTTTTTAAGTTTTCGAAAATCAAAGTTGTTTCCCATTAATAACATTATTTGTAAGCAGCTTTTATTGTTAACACATCAATGACAGTTT